CTCGAAATAACAAGTTGTGGTGAGTCTAGTTCAAGTTGTCCCACACCTGAATTCTTAAAAGTAAGGTAAAAACAGATTAGAAGAGAGTGAAATACCACTGTTCACAGGTACACACACACACACACACACACACACACACACACACACACACACACCAGTAACTAACTTCTCAGTTCCTGGGTGAGTAGCCAGTTGCCAGTGTGCTACCCAGCACACCCAAGTGCACAGTAGGTTTTAGTTTGTTTGTTTGTTTTGTTTTGTTTCTATGTTCTTTAGAGATTTACTTACCTTTGTTTTATGTGTATGAGTGTTTACCTTCATGTGTGTATGTGTGCATCACATACGTGGAGTGCCTGCAGAAGCCAGAAGAGGGTGTCAGATCCCCATGGAAATGGGGTTTGATTGTGAGCTGCTGTGTGGGTGCTGAGAACTGAACTTGGGTCCTCTGCTAGAGCAACCAGTGCTCTTAACCGCTAAGCCATCTCTCTAGCCCTATTTTAATGTCTTTTAAAAGACAGCTCATATACATAATCTCATGTATGTGTGCCAGCCCTCCAGGCCCATAGGCTCTACGTCTATGATTTCAACAAACCATGGACCAAAAAACGCCAAGAGGAAAAAAAAAGAATTTCTTCTGTACTAAACATATATAGACTTTTCTGTGTCATTTTCCCTAAACAATAAGCACAGCGCCTATTTACATAGCATTTGCATTGCATTGTGGGATGAGGCATCTTGAGACGATAGAGCATAAGGCGAAGTATGTGGAAGATATATGCAAATACCAAGCCCCTCTGCGCCAGGGACCCAGCATCTGCGAGTCTGTTATCTGCAGGGGGTCCTGGAACCAATTCCCTGCGGATCCCGAGGGAGACTGCATATCTGAACTATATTTTTACATATATATTTAATTCAAATTCAACTTAAAGGCTTAGATAACTGGAAATAGCTTCCATAGAACCTTAGATTTCCATGTAACCATTTAAAGATCTCAAGCCTAAGGAATCTCATTTCCAAAATGACTAGGTCATCCTTTCCGAAATATGATATCATAACCCATCAAAGCTCATATCACAATTTTTAGTTAAATCATTGGGTTTTTAATGTACTTTATCTTCTCCCTCATATGACTGAAGGGAAGACTCTCTTGATATTTGCTCTATTTCTGGGGCACCTGAAGGATAAGGAACTATACTAACTGCTCAGTGAAGTAATTGTTGAATGTATCGGTGAATGATGAGAACCTAAGAGTCATTGTCTAGGACCCCTGTAAACTGAGGCTAGGGGTTAGCATCATCCATGGCAGGCTGAGACTTGCCCACAAGCTAGCCTTGTCTCTCTAATGAGTTCCTGGTTTCTAACTCATTTGATCTCCTGGGCTGCCAGGAGCGGAACCGCCAGGATGTTACCAGGATGTGGCTCTGTTTTCTGCAGTCCCACTGTGGGTTAGCTTCTGAGCTCAGAGAGTCGGCAGAGGATGGACACTGACATCCCTACAACTCTGACCTCAGCTGTGTTGGAGAGCGTGCCTCTAGTAAGTACTTAGGACTGTGTCGGACACTCTAATAATAAGCAGGACTTGGCTCTAGGTGCACTCGGCTCCCCGGCCCTCCACATACTCAGCCATCAAGGCCAGGCCTGACTCCCACAAGGACTTTCCCTCTTCTCCGGCTCCATGAGGTTGAGCTCTCATGTCTGACATTCATGAACCTCACTCCACCCTCCCTGGCTTAGTCCTGAACCCTGCCTCCCCAAACTAGTCTTTTTGATTATTCCCAGCATACCCTGCAGCCGGCACCAGGAAGCAAACATCCATCTCCCTGCCATGCTGACACCCATGTGCTAAAGACTGCACTGGATCAGACCTAGCCACAGAGATTTCAGGGCTCAGCAAATGCCTGGAGTCAGATCAGAGGCCCTCCGGGGTTCAGTGAGCTCGGAGGCTATGCTGTCTGGCTAGTGATGCTTTGGGACCCAGCATAGGCACCTTCCCCAGCCTGGTGGCAGCGTAGCACAGTTTGGGAGCCTTCCCAGGGCACTTTCTCCCAGGACTTACACTTCCTATGCATTACTGCCAGGCGTCCACAGAGACCAGAGGCAGAACCATCCACTCCCAGAAGCCAGCCAGAGGCAGAACCATCCACTTCCAGAAGCCAGCCATTCTCTCCCTCCATATCAGACCACACAGCTTACTCCCCTAGAGCCTTAGATAGTGTGCCCCATTCTCAGGTCATCAGTAGATCCTGGCCAATGTAGCCCCAGCTTGGCCTTCCTGCTACATCTGGGCACCCAGTCCCTTAGATTCCGTTATGCATTCTAGCTCTATCTCCCTCCTCGGGGCTTTTGTACATCCTGTTCCCCTCGCTTCACATACGCCCACCCTACCTGCACCCAGCCTTGCTGGTGTTGAACTAACTCATTCTTGTCCTTATATTCTTGATAAGATAAGGTCAGGCCTCCTGACCTCCATCTTTATAACCCTAGACTTTTTTTTTTTTGTAATCTCAACTCCTAGGTGTGTCTCTCTGTCTCTGTCTGTCTGTCTATTTCTTTCTTTCTTTCTCTCTCTCTCTCTCTCTCTCTCTCTCTCTCTCTCTCTCTCTCTCTCTCTGTGTGTGTGTGTGTGTGTGTGTTTCTCTTCCACCAGACTACAGTCCCTATTAAAGTCCCTGTTACTGTACTATGTATCCTAGTTTGCTTCATGTTGCTGTGATAAAACACGGACCAAATCCAATTTGGAGGAAAGCCAAGGCAGGGACTGGAGGCAGGAGCTGAAGCAGAGGCCATGCTCACTGCTTCTCTTCCCCTGCTTGTGCTCACCTCCTTTCTTATATGATCCAGGACCACCTGCTAGGGTGGCACCACCCACAGTTGGCTGGGCCCTCTTGCATCATCAATCAAGGCCATAGCCCACAGACGTGCCCACAGGCCAGTCTGATGGGAGCAATTCCTTAGTTGCAGTCCCCTCCTCCCAAGTGTCTCCAGTTTGTGTCAAGTTGACAAAACTAACCAGCTCACCTATCATGGACCCGAACCCAGAGTGCACAAAGTCATCAGTGAGGGTCTGACCTGATATACAAATGAGAGACAGGATGAACGAATTCCTGGTATGTTGAAGTCACTTTAAATTTCTCCTGATAATCCCAGAGGGAGACGAAGCTTCACCCCTGTACAGGTCACAGCCAAGATATTAGGAAGTTGGGTCATAGGACCAACAGCCATGACAGCTAGAGAATGGTCATGATCCACACAGTGGAAGCAGGAGGGCTTCCTGGAGTAAGGGGAATCTCAGCTGTGTTCTGAAGGATGGTGGGAGACAGTAAGGACAAGGGTAACATGGACATCAGGGATGGATTTGCAGGAGGACAGGAATGCACTTGAGTAATCCTGGTGGGCGTTTGCTGTGTGACAGAAGTTAGGGGTCACAAGGTGAGAAAGGAGGGGGTGGCCAGTCCCTGCCATTGCAGAACTTCCGGTTATCGTGGCTGGGAAGACGGAGCCAGGCCTGGGAACCACAGAGAATGATGCAGAGAAAAGAGTCGAGCCTGGCCTTGGCCAGGGAGTACTCAGAAGAAACAAACCTGTCTAAGCCGGTTCAAGACAGCATCCCTAGCACCCAGATGAAGCCAGCGAGCAGGCAAGCCCTTCAAGGGCCTCTGGGAGCCCCTGTGACTGTGCGGTCTACTCATGGCTGCCGTCACTCCGTGCTGCTGACGTGCACTGCATCAACCTGGCCTCAGGGGTCCTGAGGTTAGGCTCACTCAGCATCTCCTTCATGAGCTTTGCTTATTGGGTCCCACAACCCATCACCTGCAGTGTCGAACCCGGCAGTACTCATGGGTCGTCTCGAGGGATGGCCCTTTGAACAATGCCATCTCGCTCCCCACAAGCCCTTGAGTTGCTCCCACTCGGGAGTTCCTAACGCAGTGTTTCTGTGAACGGCTGTGTGCTTGTCTTCAGGGGCACGGGTACCCAGTTTCGTTGAGTGTGTTTTTAGGAGTTGAAGCATGGGCTCACAGTGTTCCGCCAAACAGTTTCATAGGTGGTTGCACAAATTTGCACTCCCACGGCCGCGCACAAGGCTGGCAGGTGTTCTACACCTGTGCTGACATGCAGGAAGGTCACTTAGACTTTCTAAGATTTTTTTTTTAAAAGACTTTAAGCCATTATGTTGATTTGTTAAGTGGTTGTCTTATTGTGGTTTTCTTTTATATTTATCAGATGATTAGACAATGGAAGTCCCTTTTAATGGGGAAAGGCCTCGTAGGGCTCAGTGCAGGAGGAAGGACTAATTCAGCCAGAGCCGGTCGGGTAGGTGGTGCCCGGTTTTGTGCTTCTGTGTCCCATTGCCCCATAAGACCTACCATGCCCCACTGTGCTAATTTGAATATTGAATAGGTCGTTTGAATATTCTTTTTCTCCCTTTTTGGAGTGCTTTTTTTGAACCTTTCAATGACCTTTTAAAAATTGCTGCTTGTTATTTCCTTGTTGACTTAAAGGAGTTTTTTTTTTTTTTATATATTCTAGAAGAGTCATTTTGGGTGTGTGTGACTTTATGCATTTCTATATGTATTATATCCATTATATGTGGGATTGCCTTTAGTGCTCTCTTAGTAGTCATATCTCATGAGAAGCAAAGCTTTTCATTGTCACAAGTCTGATTTATTAACAATTCCCATTGTGTATTCTGGTTAAGAAGTCTTTCTTCGTCTGTCCCAAAGACAGTCTCCCCCGTTTGCTTCTAAGAGTCCTGTGGTTGTGTCTTTCATGGTTGGCTCACTGATTTGTCTCTGTGTGTGGTGAGACGTGACTGCTGAGATTTGTTTCTTGTACACAAGGCTGGTAGGATGGATTCAGCTTCACCACAGCATTGTTTGCATGTATTTATGTGTCTTAGTTAGGATTTCTGTTGCTGTGAAGAGACACCATGACCATGGCAACTCTTATAAAGAAAACATTTAATTGGGGCTGGCTTACAGTTTCAGAGGTTTAGTCCATTATCTTCATGGTGGGACATGGCGTTGTGCAGGCAGACATGGTGCTGGAAAAGGAGCTGAGAGTTCTACATATTGATCTGCAGGCAACAGGAAGTGACTTGTGTTCCACACTGGGTAAAGCTTGAACACAGGAGAACTCAAAGCCCATTCCCACAGTGACACCACACTTCCTCCAACAAGGCCATACCTACTCCAACAAGGCCATATTTCCTAAAGTGCTGCTCCCTATGGGGGCCAGTTTCTTTCAAACCACCACACTGTCCATCTACCAAACCTTTTGCACAGAAAGATATTTCTATCTAGTCATTTTTCTGTTAACAACCATAAGCTAGAAATGGATGAAAGGACCATCTATAAGAGAACAGACAGATTGGCACACAATTAAACAATAGAATTTTAATCAGCCGTAAAGGTATACGCTCAGGTAGGAGTGTGGCCCAGTGGTAGAGCGCTCACCTGGCATATGCCTTGGATTCTATCTCCAGCACATGCACACACAGACATAGGCATGGGGGTTAGTGTATGGCACTGTATCTCAGGTTTTCAATTCTGGCAGGTAATCTCCCTCTTCCATAGATGGAAGCAACGCTGTCTGATCCTCCAGGCTTTCTTCTGCTGGGCCTGATCCCACTGAACACTCCCGTCTTCCCCAGGAGCTGCACACTCTCCTGGTCTGTGCTCCTTTTCATCTTTGATTTTCAGGTTGCATTCCTTAGGAGCTTCGTTAGGACCCTTCCAAGGAGATGCACTTAGGCCCATTTCTGAGGAATCCAGTGATAAGTAATTGTTTCTAGATGGATGTTACCACCACCACCACCACCACCACCTCCAAGCTGGATCCAACCACCTTAGGTCACGTGGGGCAAGGGGACACAGAAACACAAAACCTGGCACCATCTACCCCACCAGCTCGGGCTGAATTCGTCCTTCCTCCTGCTGGAGGCCCAGGAGGCCTTTCCCTATTAAAAGGGACTTTCACTATTGCCTTTATTTTGAAGTGTTTTGTGGAAAATTAAAAGAAGAATGTCTGCCAAGCAGGATCTGAGCCAGCGGCTCAGAAAGCACTGTGTTTTCTTCCAAGCCTGGCCAGAGCAGGCTGGAATCGACCCAGCACTCCCCAGGCTCCTCTGCCTGCACTTATTCTCTGGGTGGCTCAATTCCTTTTAAGACACAAATTGATTGGGATAATTTCAGCTATAACTACAATTGCCGTGGAAGGGAGGGTGTATTCAGGCTGGGGACTCCTACAATGACTGTGAACCATCGAGTTACTGTAAAATGACCAGAAAATGGATTCAAAATTGAAGCCACAAATAATGTAATTACTGCAGTGTATGCACAGGACTGCCAGGACAAGGTTGGCTGCTGCCCTGGAAACATCTGGAAGGAAGCAAGGCTGCTGTTGTTGTTGCTGCTACTGCTCTGACAACCTCTGTCCTGGGCCTTGTTGGTACCAGAGTTCTTCCATCCTGGAAGATTCTTAGAGGTGGAAGAAACATGGAGGGACTAGAAAACAGATGTAGAGAGGGGACGAGGAGAAAAAGGAAGTGTAAGTCAGGAAGGAGCCCAAGTAGGTCTGGACTCTGCATCCGTGGGAGAATGGAGTTTAGTGTGGACATTGCTGTCATCTATCACCACCGCAAACGTCAGAACCACAATTCTCGTCATCCCTACCCATGCTGTCACCTCCATCCCTACCTCTACCGCCATCATCTCCATTGTTGCTATGACAACATCGTCATCACCACCAGTCTTGTCAACACCAGCATCATCCCTGCTTCTGTCAACACCATCATCTCCCTGACAGCATCTTTATCAGCAGCACCATCTCACTGATGCAATGGTCCACAGAAGCCCCGATTTTGTCTCCTTTTCTCTCTCCACTCACGTCTCTCGCCATCCCTGCTGGCTTCGTCTCCATGACTGCGATGCCACAGACTTTATCACCAGCCGTGCCCTCCACACCAACATCAGCATCTCAACACTGTCTGGAAGCTGGGATGCCACCTACAAAAACATCACCGTTGTATAGCGTGCTAATAGAGCCAGTGTCCTCCACAGCTGGGCTTATAATTGTCCCTCCTTACTTCTCTGGTGTCAGATGAAGGAGAGACTGTTACAGCCCCATTGCTCAGATGAGAAAACTGAGACTTCATGAGTTGTTCTCACCCACCCCACTTCCCCAGCTTCCCTCTGGACCTTTTCCCTGTGTGTTTATGGGATTGTCAACATCACTGCCCACTCCCAGTGTGCATAGCACCTCACTGACCCCTGTGTTCCCCGCCACTTTGTTGCAGCCTGTGACCAGCTGGCACTGGGTGTGGTAGCCATCTTCGGACCATCACAGGGCTCCTGCACCAATGCTGTCCAGTCCATCTGCAATGCCTTGGAGGTGCCCCACATCCAACTTCGCTGGAAGCACCACCCCCTGGACAACAAAGACACCTTCTATGTGAACCTCTACCCCGACTACGCCTCCCTCAGCCACGCCATCCTCGACTTGGTCCAGTCCCTCAAGTGGCGGTCAGCAACCGTGGTCTATGATGACAGCACAGGTGAGTGGCTAGACCTGCCGAGTCTGGGGAAGGGGTGGGGGAGCAGAGCTGCCTCCGAGGAGAAGGTCACGCCTGACACCAGACACCAGCGAGCAGCCGGTTCCACTCACACTTGCCCCTAGGGCCTCTCGCACCCATACACACCAGCCACACACGCACCTTATTCAACCCCAGCCTGGCTCACGCCCGACTCTTCCCCGCTCCCCAGCACGCTTGCATCATCTTCTGCAGCGGAGTACTGAGCTCTGCGATTGGCACCTGCCAAGCATTGGTCTGTGCTCGAACTTCCACAGCCACCTGCCGCTGCCGGCCTGCACCCCTACACCTGTACCCTCCCGTGCGCAGGAGGCATGTCCGGATTCTCCACACCCATTCACAGTTTACTCATTGTGTGGCCTGGTGGCAATGTGTTTGTGCTGTGTGTAAATCCCTGCTCTCCCGCCTGCTGGCTGGGCTGCTACTCCCTGCCTCCATCTCCTTCCTCATGGGGAGGCTCCGGAATAAAGAGGGAAGAGTAGATATAGAAACCTGGCTCGGAGTGCAGGGGAGGTTAGTTCCAGATCCTTGGGACACCTGCACACAGCACCCTTCCCCCATTCTTTGCCTCCCCTCAGGCACCCCTGTTCATGCCTCTCTGCACTCAGATACCTTTCTACTTACGTGATTGCCGGCCCCAGCCAGGGCCAGGGCCATAGAAATGAGCTCTGGGCTCGGGTCACGTGCTCCAGTGAGGAAGAAGGAAAAGCCTGGGCTGGACCCCCTGGTGCAGAGGTGCCCATCCTACACTCATGCCTTGCCCAACTGGGATCACATCAGCATCCATTCACAGGGCCTGCTTTAGCCCATTCCTGCCTAGCCATCCTAATCTATCATGGTACTCACCTTCCAGAACCCTCTTAGGATAGCGTGTTACCCTTGACTTCCCAAGTCCTGGGCCCCTTGGTGTAGGCCCAGAGCAGATAGCCACTACGAGCTCCATCGAATGTTCTGGACCTTGCCTTTGGACCTTGTGACCTGTGACAACTCTTCAGCCATGGTCTTGACGAAATGTTTGTTACGAGTGAACACAGAGTGTCAGAGGAAGGGAGAAAAGAGTGACCGCCAGACCTGCCTTCGCCTTCTGCTGCCCTCAGGAGGTTCGCTCTCTGGAGACAGAGCAGGCGTTCCTCCGGGGGAGTGTATGGGAGAGATTGCTCAGTGTACCAGGAGTCAAGCAGTGCCAGGATAGTCTCTTTTAGTTCCACAAGTCTCTCAGTGACTCTATGGGGTGGTGAATCAGAAAGGCAGGAACAAAGATTCAGCAAGGTAACAGACCCCGCCCACTGTCAGCAGACAACCCACACCATCCGGCAGGCCTGTCTGAGCCCAAGGCCACTACTGTTAGCCAGCACGGAGCTGGTTCCTCTTTCTTTCCCAAGACTTGAATCTCAAGACAATTCTTAGCCCAGCCTCTTCAGCAACAGTGACCTTGGCAAGTCACTTAACCCGTCTGCCCTGGCTCTTCCCTCGTGTCTCGTGTCTCGAGAGGTAGCACATCCAGCCTTGAAAAGCCCTCCAGCTCTCAACTACCTGGGCTCCATGTCAGCTCTTGATTACCTCCTAATGGGGGGCAAGAATAGCAGGATGAAAGCCCACAGGCAAGATGAATCAGGATGCTGTTTATCCATCTCAGGGTTCTTCGAACCGCTACGGAGCTCTATGTTACTGGCAGTCCTTAAAAGGCAGCCCACCCCCTGAGACCCCAGCAGGAGGCTCTGACACCATGGGCCACTCCAGGGTGCCCAGTCCTCTCTAGTGTCTCTGCAACTTGGTGGTCTTTCCTTTCTAAACCAGTGGTTCTCAACCTTTCTAATGCTGTGACCCTTTAATACAGGTCCTCATGTTGTGGTGACCCCCTCCAAGCATAAAATTATTTTCATTGCTACTTCATAACTGTAATTTTGCTACTGTTGTGAATCGCAATTAAATATCTGGTATTTAGAATATCTGATAGAGGACCCCTGCCAGGGGTTGTGGCCCACAGGTTGAGAACTGCTGTAAAAAAAAGTTTATGAGCCCATTTCTGCTTCCAGATCATAGGTTCTCTGTGCCTCTAGAAGTCAGCACAAGCTTGGTACAATGTGGGCATTTTTAAAGCATTGGTTGAACTGACTTGGGGTGAGTTGAAAATCATGTTGAATTAAACTCTAAGTCTTGCAGGAAAAGGGTACAGAAATGAAGATACCCCTACCCTATTTTTTGAGGAGTTACATCATATTCTAGGAGACAGGTGATTCACTATGGGCCAGTGGTAACTCTCGGCCATTAGAGCTAAGAATCAAATGGCAAGGACAAGTAGTCAGAGGTCCAGGTACCTGGGTGCAAGAAAGCTCTGTGGCTTTGGCCAGTGTGTGCTGGTTACCGGAAGAGGAGAGAGTTTTGCCCTGGGCCTTGAAGATAAAGGGACAGAAGGACAGAATCGGGCCTGTTGTGGGCATAACAGATGAAAGGAACAATGTGAGCCAAGGAGAGGAGGTGGGGCAGGGTGGGGCAGTGTTCTGGAGAAGCCAGCCTGGCTGGGAAGAGGATTGAGTATGGAGTGTGAGCAGGGAAAGTGAGACAGACGGATTCGGCTGGCTGTGCAGGGCTGACATCCAGCCTCAGGCTTCAGACTCTACGTTGTATGTAACGGAGCACCACTGTGTGCTGTCAAGCGTAGCCTTGGAATAATGAAAGCCGAGTTTCAGTAGACACCCAGGAGAGCCGAGTGTGAGAAGGGTTGGAATGAGAGCAAAAAGCTGGGGGGACTGAATGGTCCCCACAGGAACAAAGGAAGCCAGACTTCACCTCAAGGAGTTACCTGGAAGAGAACTTGGGAGCAGCATGGAGGAGAAGAAACAGATACAGGGGGATGGCTGTAGTGTCACAGGTGATTGGGCAGAGCAGAGTCTAGCTTGAACCGTTGCCCAGGGGTGCAGGGCCTCCAGGCGGGGTAGGGGGTTGGGAAGACACAAGGCTTTGCAAGGACATCTGCCAGCATGACAGGCACCATGCTAGTGCACTGCTCAGAGCTGATGCTGAAGTCTGCAGCTTCCTGTCTTTGAGTGCTGGTCTACCCACAAATCCAGGTTGCTTGGTCCTCGGCTCTGATGGCCTGGAATTGCCAGTGACCTCCGGATAGTACCATTCCCTCAACTCTTTTTTTTGTACAAGATGCTAGAAATCAAATTCAGGGCCTTGTGCATATTGGGCCAGCATCTTACCACTGAGATACACTCCCACCACCCTGACTCTCCTATAATCTGATTAACCATTCAAAAAATATGGGATAACCATGCCTTAATTTCTTCACCTTCCCAGTGCCTCACATACTCTTTCTTGAAATAATTCATTAGCGTTTAATTCAGTTTGATTTTCAATTTGTCTCAGTGTAGTTTAGTTTAAAAGGTACTTAGAGTGGAGGCACTGAGAGATGGGGTTGGGTCAAGAAAACAGTGGGCTCTAGGATTCAGATTTGCATTAAACAGGAACATAGCATTGAAAACAGGTGGTGGGAAGCAGAGGCCATACTCCTCCGACCGAGACATTTCACCAGGCTGGACCACCACCAGGTGGGAAGCACAGCGTCTTTAGCAGACTCAGGCAGGGCGACGTCCAGTAGCACATTTTAGCTGATGAGCCAACCCAATTCAAATCAGCTAAAGCAATCGCCACTTACTTTTCTTGTGGATAGAGGTTATGGGCCGGGCCCTTCTCAGGCTCCTTTAGCAGCTCGACTAGGTCAGAGTGCCGTGTGGGTATCTTGACACCCTCTTGACCTTCACTTCCTGGGCACAGTAGTGTTGCTGCAGCTCCAGACAACACCAGACACTGACACCCCAAGCAGGAAGGAGACAAAGGGATTTGTCCTAATGTGACCCACACCCCTTATCAACAAGAAAGGTCTGTCTGTGAACCTTCTAGAAGACGGTCTTCTACAGTTCATGGAACCCATGCCTACTATTCCTCGGCGCTGTCCAACGGGAGTAAGATTGACACTGACTGGCTCCTAACTGTCACGAGGACTGGCACATTGCCACCCTCCTTTTGGCATGCCAGCCAAGGATGCATCTGTTAGCTCTTTCTATAATAAGCTGTGTAACAAACCACCCCCCGAAATCCAGTGGCCTAAAACAACAAACATTGCTTTAGCTCCTGAGTCTACCAGGTCAGCGGCTTACTGGGCCTGGCCAGCTGCTTCTTTGGTTTCAGCTGGCTTACTCGCCTGCCTGCTGGTAGCTCTAGGCTGCCCTTGGCTCTCTTCCACGTGTTTCTGTTCTCCGGCAGGCTAACCCAGGCATTGTTGTCCTAACCACGGCCAAGGAGCAAGAGCATCAGCCAGTGTGGAGTTCCATCATGCTTGTTAATGTCCCACTGAACAAACCAAATGACAATGTGGAGCCTGGTGGGTGGGCACTGCCCAGCTCCATGCAAATGGGCTATGGATCTAGGGAGGGGTGAAGAGTTTGGCTCATCCTTTTCACAGTGGTAGCCTCAAGGAGAGTGGCTGTGGAGGAGGTGACCTTTGGGCTGTGCCATGTTTCCACCTTCCTAATCCAATCTGTGCACAAACTCCTGCCAGGGCTGAAAGGAAAAGGTTTAGGGAGGGGAAAAGCCCTAGGGTGGAGAAAAGGTCTCTGCCCAGAAGGCAGAAGAATACTGCTTCTCAAAACCTGATCCTAGTTGTGGCATGGTTCGGAATTAAGGGTGGTCCCTTAACCTCTCTGGCCCTCTGATTCCTTATCTACTCCCCCAGCGTGAAGGCTCCTGTCCTGCGTGCCTCCCAGGATCCGGAGATGGTTAAATGGGGCTACGAGCACAGAAGTGCTTCGTAAGTGAAAAATGCCATTCCAACAACCGTGATTCAGTGCGGATATTCTGGGAGGGATTGATTAAGGAGGCAGGCAGAGGAAAGCTCGGTCGCAGGCAAACACAGACAGCCCGGTCCTCTGGAGGTGGGCCAGAAGGAGCCTGGTCTCCTTGGGGACTCCACTGATGGGAAGGAAGTCTGACATTTGCTGCTGGAGAATGTGGGTCGTTATGCATTACACAGGGTGATGTGCTTGGCTGACAAGACGGCCCTGGTGGCTTCCACTCCAGCATCCAGCCTGTCCCTGTCCTCACGATCTGGGTCTCCAGAGCCCACAGGCCGGCTAATGCTGAACAAGAGTCAGAACAATGAGTGGGCACGAGTGAAGTGGACGTGGAGGGCCTCCAGGGAACGCATGGGAGAGGCCAGCAGTAGCCGAGGAAGAACCCAGAACTACTGGAGAAGTAGGGGTTCTGGGTATGACGGGGTGGGGGGTAGCTTGTGGCCCCTCCCTTGCTGAAGTCTGCTGCCCCCCTCCCCTCCCTTATCGCCTCTGGTGGCAGGATTCCGAGGCCCGATTGAAGCAGAGTTCTTCCATCTGTGCATCCAGAACTCATGAACGTTTTGGAGCTCTTTGGGAGGTTGGGTTATAGCCTCCCTGGCACAGGAGGCTGGTGGAAGCCAACCCCCAGGAATGGGAGCGCTAATAGCCTTATGCTGGGTACGAGGGATTGCTTTGGAAACTGGGGTTCCATTGGAAGGGTCCTAGAGTTCAATAACAGAGTGGGGAGATGGTGTCCAGATAGGAAGCATTGTAATAGGTGACTACGAAGTTAATTCGGTGCACGTTAGCTTAAGAAACACAGGTATGAGTGTGCGTGGGTGGTTCTTTAGAAACAATATTATGTTGTTGTTTGTTTGTTTGTTTGTTTGTTTCGAGACAGGATTTCTCCATGCAGCTCTGGCTGTGCTAAAACTTTCTCCGTAGACCAGGCTGGCCTCGAACTCACAGAGATCCGCCTTCCTCTGCCTCCTGATTAAAGGCGTGTGCCACCACTACCCAGACTCTTGTGCGTGTGGTTCTTATTGGTAGCCTTTACTAAGACATTGGAAGACAGCATCAGTTTACAGTACTGTTTGACCCAGGGTTCATTCAAATGGTGTCATTAGGACATGCTTCCCTCCCCCCACCACCGCTCAATCTTCTCTGACATCTGCCCCGATGGATCTTACCTCCAGTTGTATGTGTTCACCCCAGACTTACATCCTCCTTGCTTGCGTAAAACGTGTTGTTTCTTACCTGCCACTATAATCACAGAATCCCTGTGTTCCTATTCCCAAGGAATATGCTGATTGGTCAGGTCGGGGCCATGCACTTTGTTCCCTGAGCTGGGACAGATCCTTCTTGAGTATATAAACTCGGAGTGGGGAAGAGGTGCTCCCCGCAGGAAAGTTGGGATAAGTGAGTGGGGGGTGGGACATGGGTGTGTGAACCGTGTACAGCTACTGAGCCTGTGCTGAGGGCACCATGCAGGAGAGGACACCTGCTGGTTCAGCCGTCCTTCGGTGGGCCTGGGCAGGGGCAATGGAGAGCAGCAAGCAGCCTCCCTCCCAGAATCCACAGAGGAGTCAGCAAGAACAGAGCTTGAAATAGGGAAGGAAATGAACTTAATTAGACCTAAGCAAGCCATTTGTCTCCAGGAAGTGACATTCCGTTTTCCCTGGAAGTCCCCCCGATTAAGTGGTTTTACAAAATGCCAAGGTGGAGGATAGATTTTTCAGTGCAGGGCGAAGCAAACAGTAAGTCAATCCAATTACAGAAATGTTGTGTGAGTACTCCCTAAGTGTCAAGGCCCTGGGCCAGGTGCTATGGGGCGCTAGTCTCGGCAGAATGAGGAGGCAATAGAGGGGGCTGAGGAAAGAGCCCTCGAAGCTGGCGTGGATATTGGGGGATGTTTGAGGGTAGGGAATCGTTTCTGAACACAGAAAACAAGGAATGCTGCGTAGCGGTATCTGAGTAGATGCCTGAGATGTTTTATGCATGCATGTACATGTGTGTCTTCTGTGTCCTGCCCCCCCCCCCGCGCCCCCAGGTCTCATCCGGCTGCAGGAGCTCATCATGGCCCCATCCAGGTACAACATTCGCCTGAAGATCCGCCAGCTCCCCATCGACTCCGATGACTCACGGCCCTTGCTCAAGGAGATGAAGCGGGGCCGGGAGTTCCGCATCATCTTTGATTGCAGCCACACCATGGCAGCCCAGATCCTCAAGCAGGTGGGTGAACACTGTCCAAGCTGAGGGGTTAGGGCTGGGCCTGCCATGGCTCTACCTCCTCTTTTCCAGGTACAGAGCTTGACCTCAGTAAGCATCCTAGCTGTCTCTCTGGCTGCCCGTATGACCTTGGGGGCCACCATGACTCTGCCTTAGTAGCACCAGCAGTATAATGATGGTTTTTTTTCTACTCCCGTTGTGTTAAAGGTGGATCATCTGCCCCCATGTCATGTCCTAGTATTCAGAGCCCCCCAGTAAACACTGCCTCCTAGCCCACCTCCACCAGGCTGGTAAGAGGCATGAGAATATCCCTGGTGGAGTGTAGGGGATGCAAGGCGGGCCTCGGCTTCTCTGTGCAGTCCCCAGATGCCTCGCTGCCTCTCCCGGTGACTAATCCCCCACGGCACCTGCCTATGACTGGGAGATTGCTCTTTAAACAATCTGCTGAGCTTTGCAATTATGGCAGAAGAAGAGCATGGGTCTCCAGCCTGGATGGTCCTCCGTTCCCAAACGGGACTCATGCTGGCAACGAAAGCCAGGCTCTGCCAGCCACTTAAAAAAAGTAACAGCAGCCAGGCATGGCGGTGCATGTCTTTAATCCCAGCACCTTTGAGGCAGAGGCAGAGGGAATCTCTGAGTCTGAGGCCAGCCTGGTCTATAAAGTGAGTTCCAGGATAGCCTGGGCTACAGAGAGAAACTGTCTCAGGAAGGAAGGAAAGCAAGCAAGCAAGCACAAAAGGACCTACAACCGACTCCAGGCCACCACAGTGAAACCCCAGCCATTGGATCGAGCTTGTGCTCTCTGTAAAAGGCCATTTGTTATCCTCGAAAGTGTTCCAGGTGACTGGAGGGACTTTGACACATGAGCAAGAGAAACCACGGGAATCCAAGACACAAGGTGATGCAGGTCTTTCAAGAGGAGGGATTGCCAAGCAGGAACTGGGACATTTTCAAAGCCCTGAGGGGCTCAAGTACCACCCTTCATTTGGAGTAGCCATCCCGACTGGCAGCCTCCATATCCGTACCCTGCAAAGGAAGTGGAGGCAAGAGGATCATGGTTCAAGGCCAGCATGGGTTACAGAGTGAGTTCAAGGCCAGCCTGGGCTATATAGTGATGTTTGGTGTTAAGAGATAAAGAGAAACCTGAGTTCTGGGGATATCATTCAATTGGTAGAGTACCTGCTTAGAATACACAAGGCCCCAAGTTCAATCCCCTGTACCACATAAGCCACGGGTGGTAGTGCATGCCTATAGTTTCAGCAGTCAGGAGGTAGAGGCAGAGCATCAGAAATTCAATGTCATCTTCAGCCATCCTGCAAGATCAAGGCCAGCTTGGGGTACATGCGGCCCTGCCTAAGAGGGGAAAAAAAAATTCTTATTGTCTTGCCCCTCCCCTTCCATATTACATCATGGAGTCACCACCATCACCACCACCACCTCTTCTGTGGGCAGAGTTTATCCATAATCCCTCCTCAAACAGCTCTGGGGGTGTCAATGAGATGGGACAGCAGAGAGGGGGGTTCTGATGTTGGGCCTGCAGAGGTCCCTGTGGGGACATCTATGCAGAAGCCCTGTAACCTTCGCTGTCCTGGGGCTTCCCCTCTCTTCCCTGCATGTGTGACAGAATGACAGTCATAGCATTGGTTCCCAAAGAGTCACTCAGCAGGGATCTGTCCCTCCTCGTTGACCCGGGAAGTAGAGGCTTATTACTACAGCCAACTGACAGGTGAAGAGACCAAGGCCAAAGAGAAAGCAGCAGGCCTGAGGTCATCCAGCTAGGAGTTCAGATTAGTCCCAGGTCTGTGTGCCTGCAAAATATCGAGAGTTAACAGATGAAGACCCCAGGCTGAGCTCAAAGTGGATTAAAGGGGGTTGAGGCCTTTCCCGGCTGCTGGCCTCTTCCCAGCCCTCCCAGCATGGATGAGGGTGACAGAGGACATGCAGCAGTTCAAGGTATATTTGGCCCTGTGACATTTTTCCTCCAGAACCCTTGGTGGGCGCTGCTTTCTGAGGAACTCTGTAGAAAATGCATTAATAGTCATTAGTGTTATGGATTACAGACCTTTAATAAAACACACAAGATACATCACACAGAGAGACCTCGTACTGCTGTGCAAGAATAATCCCAGAGGGGCATGTGGTATGTTGTGTGGCCTGATGGGATCAGGGAAGCATGGAGGTTTCGTTGCTCCTGGGAGACACTCATGCTAAGGATGTCCCCCTCGAGCCTGGCTTACTGGGAGAGCCCCATCATGTAGAGCCAGGCTCGTGAGGCGCCTCAGTCTTCTGTCAGCATGTCTGAGTGACAGGCCCAGAGACACAGACTGAAAAATCCAGACAGCTGGACATCTCCCTGCTGCCCCGCAGAACTGGGGGCTTTGAGAGAATGTGACCCCCAAACCCCCACACTGGAGACTCCCCCAGGTGCTTTTGCTACACACTGGAGTGGGAACCCGCGTTGTCCACCAGCCAGTCCGTGTCGTAGTCCCAAGGTCTCAGTGGACACCCTAGGTCTGAGCAGACAGCTTCACGCAGCCCATGGCCTGTCCCGTCGTCCTCCAGCTCCCCTGGCCCGGATGAATGGCGGGTGAATGGATGGCGGGGTGTCCCATGCCCCCAGCTAACACTCTGCTTCCCCACAGGCCATGGCTATGGGCATGATGACGGAGTACTACCACTTCATCTTTACCACTCTGGTAACGTACCGCCGGGTCCCGTGAGGAAGGGTGGGGCCTCTGTTGGTGAAGGTTACTTGAGATGGGCCTGGGCCAGCCTGCTGGGAAGTGCTAGAGCTGGAGCAGACCCAAGCCGTCTTAAGGTTGTGGCTGTTGCTCCAGGGGAGACGACAATGATATCGCTGTTAACTGCCCGCTTTTGAAAAGTCCCGGGCCTGGGCCTGGAGAAGAACAACTTCTCTGCTGGCTAGTATGGGGACCCTGAGTAAGTCACCAGACCTCCCATGCCTCTGTTTCTTCCTCTGCAAAATGGGTTTCCTACCTCCTTGGGAGGCCTAGTAATCTGGTCAGGCCTGGGGGTGAGAGCAGAGCTTGGCTGGTTTAGAGCTGGAGAGAGCGGCTATTAGTACTCTTTAGACTGCCCTCCCACACACACCTGTCAAAGACCTCCCATCACCCCTGGAATGGCCACCTTGGATCCTGCACCATCCATTCTGAAGTCAGCCCCTTGTGGTCACTGGGGACAGCCCACCTGCTGGCTCCACATGGGTCCTGTCCAAACTCTGAGAACATTTAGGGCCATTTAAACCCATTAGAATAATTAGTTGTGATCTGAGATCAGCAGAACCATGGCGTCCTGTGCCAAAGAGGGCACCACTGCTGAGCTGCCTGGCCTTGGAGCCAGCCGCACCCTCCCTCCCTGCCCTCCCCACTTCGGGGACCCGCAGTCCCACCCCTGCAGCCCAACCCCTGCACCCCCACAATCCTCTGGGTGATTTCTTCATTTATAGAGCACCAGTCACCAGTCTTCACCCAGCTTCTGGGCTAAGCTGGCAATTTCAAGATGGTAGGACTGAGGCCTTCCAGTCCGTCTTCCTCTGACACAGCTGACCTTTGACCTCAGGCAGACCGCCCTAGGGCACAGCACACGGAGATGTTAGGGTTTGTAGGGCTGGTAGCAGGTGGGAAGTTTGAGGCAGGCTTTCTAGAAAAAGCGGGTGTTTGAGCTAGGCTTTGAAGGATCCATAGGCGCTCACTAACAGGTCGGGGAGAGAGGAAGGGTATTCTGCACAGAAGGAAGAGTGTGGGCAAAGGCAAAGAGGCAGGTCGGCTCTCCAGTGATGCGTTGGAGTTGGCTCGCACTGGAGTTGGAGAATCAGCCATGTTCTCACAGCTCCATGCCGTATTCGTAGCTTGCAGTCAGCCACGTGAGCACTTCTACCACGGCAGGGGGCCACTGCCGCCAGCAAGGGTTTCTCTCGGGCACAGAGCAGTCACCAGCACACCCTGATTGTCACACAGCCTCCGTTCACAGCACCCTGTGCCCAGGCAGCACTTGGGGCCCCTTCTGCTGCTTATAAATCAGACCTGGGCACCTGATGAAGATACCGTGGGGAGACAGGGTCCCTAAGAACTAGGGACTGAGACCGGGTACCTTCTCTCTAAGGGCTCACCTCACCCTAGTCTTTATCTGTCATTCTGTGTCCTGGATAGTCAGCAGGAGCTTAGGGCAAGGTGCTCGATCCCTGGCAGCATTCCAGACCAAGACTAGAGATGACAGCCCCTTGGCCCCGGTGTCTTCTGCAGTGACGCCCCTTTCCATGGCGGTCGAGATCAAAGGTCTCAGAAACAGCATCCTAGCACCCCAGACCTCCCCTCCAGCCTCATGCACCCCTCCAGCCTCATACAGTGCCCATTTATCCTAGGCCTTGCTTCCTTGATGTGGCTGTTCCTCTTTTCACTTACCCATCCACAAATGCTGAGGTCCCCAGCTCTGAGCTGGGAGGATGAACAGAGGTGGACCCAACACAAAACTCACACACAAGCTCCAAAAACTTCCTTCTGTGAGCAAGGCTGTCTGTCTGTAGTGCCCACGGAGTGCCTGGCCCACAGCAGGTGCTCTGTGACGCCTGAGTGGGAGATGAGTGGATGAAGGACCACCATGTAAATTAGATTGTAATCAGCACAATCAGTACTCATCATCTCTTGCAACAGGCAGTTCAGACCATGGGCTCTGGTGTGTCTGATTGGGATTAAGATACTTACTTCATTGTTTGGGGTTGTGGGGATGGGAGATGGCTCAGGGGTTAAGAGCACTTATAGCTCAAGCATGGGAACTGAGTTCAAATCCCCAGGACCCACATAAAAAGCTGGGTGTGGCT